CTGGGGTCAGAAATCAGGGTCCATCATTAGTTTGAAACTCTGCCCCCCCATTGCAAGTGAAGGTGAAGAGACATCTCCCGAAGGAGAAGAAGGCAGCATTCGAGAAGCAGATCTCGCCCAGGCACCATGATGCCTGGAAGAACGGCTGATTGGTAGCTGCCCTAGTTGACTCTGTCCCATTGTCTCTCCGGAACAGCTGATTCTGTGGTGGGCACACGGTGACACGGGGAAGAGGAAATCCAATTCCAGCTCAGCGGCTGATGGTGTGACCTTGGGCAGCATCTGCCAGCCCTCCAGCCTCTCTTTCTCTTTCCCGGTAAAGTGTAAACCTAAGCATACCTACCAGGAGGAGCTGTTGTGAAAAACAAAATGAGGGCATGCAGGTCAAGGTGTTTCTCGCGGTGTCTGGCACATGGGAGGCGCTCGAGGAGTGTCAGGTAGTGTTATGCAGGTGCTGATGACTTCCCAAAGGGATAAGAGAGGGAGGGAATGAGGAGATGTTGAGAACGTGGACTCTAAACTCTGTCTTCATCTCCGCAGAGTCAGAGGATGCAGAGCGGGTGGGATTAAGCAAGCACTCCGACCGGTTCTGAAGTCCAGTCCACTGAGGGTGACAGTGTGGGTATTATTCATGGCACACAGTGTTCAGAGATAAACTGAGCCCTCGGAGATGTCAGTGTGACTGGGACAAAGCAAAGGCCTTTCGTGTACTGAGCAGTACAAACAAGCTCAAAACAAGTCATTTTCTCTTTAAAGCCTAACGTCCTTTGACCACTTGGGAGCACACCCAGCGCAAGATGCAGCGAGGAGGACCAGTGCCAAGAAGCGGCGAGAAAGGTCTCCTGCAGCTGTAGGCATGACTGTCACCTGCCAGGCGGAGGCTAGGTGACAGGAGAGGGGCTGCCTCCGCTCTGCCCCGGGCGACGTGAGTGGCTGGTGTGTGGCCACGTTCAAACCCTCCCTCTTCAGCTTGTTCACTGTTTAAATCACTTGGCACAAATCCTGTCAGCTCTGTGAGCTTTAGTTTCCTCATCTGTAAAAATGCAAATCACGGGACCTTCCTCCAAGGTTTTTGTGAGGATGACATGAGAAGCTGGCCCCGAGTAGGTGCGGAACACAGACGCGCCCTCCCCATCGGAGAGCAGTCCGCCCGCCTCCCGTCCAGTCCCCTCCGGGCTCTCACCAGGTGAGTGAGAAATTTAGAGCCAGCCAGTCCCAGGTGTGCCCTGCCGTCCTCTGCACCCCGGTGTCTCTGCGCAGATGAACCCAGACGATTACGAACATCAAAGCGGTATTTCAACGTGACTCCTGCCCTCCCCATGCTGCCGAAACTCGCAAGAACTTCTGATCTCCAGAGCAAATGGCCTTTGGCTGGGGCTCCTCTTCCTCCCCCTGCAGCACTGGCATTGGCTGCTTTCCATCTCGAAAGCCTTTTCCCTCCTGGTTTCTCTGGTTTTTCTGCTCTGGGTTTCCCCTCCCTCTCTGCCCTTGCCCTCCAAGTCCACGGCACCGGTCCCCTGGTCCCCTTGATTCCTGTGTGTGGGTGCCCCATGCTCCCAGCCCCATCTCTCCTCCTCCCACTCTGTCCCCATCCTGAGTCTCCCTCGTGCCAATGACTTCAACTCACTCTCTAAAATCATGGGTCCCAAATCTGTATCTGTGGTCCCCATACGTCTTTTTGAAGAACATACATCTTTTCCAAACCTTAGACTAGGGGTCGAACACCCCAATATCTGCAGGGGCTGAGCAGGTCCCATTAATAACCTCCTGGACTCGAGGGCAGGAGGGAGCAGGGGAGACCGCAGCAAAGTGGGGACCCTTAACTCCAACCGACTGTAGTCCTGCAAGCATGAGAGCTCAGGGACCCAAATCTTAAGGTTTTTCAAGAGGAGTCAGAAATGCAGACTTTCATAAGCAATTAATGCACAATCTATTCAGTTTCTTTTTAACTGTGTGGGGAAAGCCCATACGAGGCAACTATACCTGAAAGCCAGATGTGAGCTACTGTTTACACGTTGTGCTGGACCCAAAGGTTCAACTGCTCATTTTAAGCCTCATTGTAAAGGCTCCTTGAGGGGGAGGGTAGAGCTCAGTGGTAGAGCATGTGCTTAGCATGCATGAGGTCCTGGGTTCAATCCCCAGCACCTCCTCTAAAAATAAATGAACCTAATTATGCAAACCCCCAACAAAATAAAATAAATAATTAAATAATAAAGAAATAATTTTTAAAGGCTCTCTGGAACCTCAAATTTAACATATTCAATCCACCATAACCCTCCCTGAACCAGCAATTCTCATTGGTCTGTATTTCAAATGTTGCCAGTCCTACTCTCCCAAGCATTTAGGCTTCAAACGGTTGCATCCTCTTTGACTCTTTCTTCGCTTTCCCTCATCTGGCCAGCTCTGCTTTATTACCTCTGCAACAAGTCTTGAGTCCCCATCGTCCAGCGTACGCCCGCATCGCCCTGCACTCTCCACGGCAGTGCCACACTGGACTGGCCGGCCTCCCACCTTCTCCTTCTCTCCAAGCTGGTCGTCTGTGCACAGCGGGCTCATTAACCTGCCTCAAATACTTCTTTTTGTATAACTCCCCTACTCAAAGTTCCGAGCTCTCTATAGCCCCCAAAGCGCGGCAAGTCCTTCTCAAGCTGCATGCAAGGTCCCCAGCAATCCGGGGCGGGTACACTCGCTGCCCCTGGATGTCCATCCCCTCCTCCTTCCCTGGTGGCAGAAACCCTGGTGCCTTGCCCGGAATCTGGGCATGGAGACCAGACGTCCGTGGGACTAAGTTCTGGCCGACAGAACGAACGTGCGTCCTGGTGGTTGACTCTGGGAACCTTCTCAAAGAGATGGAACAGGTGTGCCCCTCCCCCCCTTCTTCTTTGTCCCTTTCTGCCTCCTGATTCTAGAACAGGATGCTACAACCTTGGACCATCGGCAAAGAGCCCACAGCGCAGACTAACAGGAGAGAGGAACGTGGGTCCGCGACTCAGCGGAGCGCCATGCCGGCCCGGGGGCCGCGCCACGCCAGCTGCTGGGCTCCACATGTTTCTATCTTGTTTAAGACGCGGTTCCTTCTGGCTCCTGACGCTCAGTGAGCCTTGCCCTTGCCCGTCACTCACAGAAATCTCCTCTCACACGCCTCTCCCCGCCCCCAGCCGCCCCCGCCCACCATCCCGACGAGGCCACGCGCCGGCCCCCGACGCGCGTCTGCTTCCCCGCCTCCCCACCTAGTCTCGTCATCCCCTGACCGCTGTCCTCTGCTTGGAACTCTGTCCTACTCCCAAGGCCCTCCCAGAGCTCGTGTGTCACTTCCATAAACCCGCCCCCGCCCCCACTGGCCCCTGCTGCCTCCCCCTCAACCCCGTCAGCCCCTCACTGCGCCCCCCTCCTTGTTCGCGCGGGTACTCAGCCCGACCCCCGTGTGCGCGGCCGGCACTCTGCCCGAGCACTAACGGCCCTGCGCACAGAACTGTGGATCCTGGACCCAGTGCGTGTAACTGAAAGGGGGAGGAACGTCACCCCAGGAGATCGACACATGGGCCGAAGGGTGTGAGCAGAGGGTCCCCCCACAGGGCTGGGGGTGCCTGGGGATGGAGGAGGTCCTATGGGTGGGCCGGGTCTGCAGACAAGCTGGAGGTGCGGCTAGACTCACCCACCAGTACAGCCACCTCCACGTCACCTCTCCAGCCGCATCACCCCCAGATCTACGGACCAAGCAACTGCACAGAGTTCCCAACCCCTGCCCAGGCTCTGCCCCTGCCTGGCTCGTTCCCACGGACATGGATGGTCAGTGGGCCACTGTCTTTGTATTTGACCAGAAGTACATTTTACACCTTCTGATTTGGGCAGAACCCCCACCACAACCGATTCCCACAAACCCGGCTAGATTTGTCTTCTGGCACCTGTCTCTGAACAAGAGGCAGTGTGTGGCTTGGCAGAGGGTCCAGGTTAGGATTTCATGACATATGGCCCTGTTGGATGTCAGCCACGCAGGCAGCTCGTCCAGGGAGCTGGTTCCTGGGCCGTGAGCTGCTCACCTGAGAACCCCCATCACCTCTTCTCACCAGACACCTTTGACAAAGGATAATGTCTGAGTGCAAACAGCAAGGAAAGGGGCTGGGAAAGAGGACAGCAGTGCCTGCTCTCCCCAGGCCTCAGGCCCCTCTGAGAGCCGGCCTGCCAGGGCTAGGATGCTCACTGCCCACGACCCATGTCGGCCTCTCTCCCAAGCGACACGTGCTCTCTGAGAAACGCGCGGCCCTGACGGAGCAGACCGGGGGCAGATCCGCACCACCTCTGCCCGGCCCCATCCCCGCAGCTGTGCATCTTGGGTTTCCTAAGCAGTTTGGCACTGAGGGTGACCCCAGACAGGAAGAAAGGAGAGTGTCTGTGTCACAGGCTGGATGCAGGGGACCCTGCCTAGTGAGTGGGCCAAGCGGGGAGGAAGGGCCCGGGGCCCTGGGGGCAGAGCGGTGAGGACTCATCCCTGAAGCTAAAACACACACTTCTCCTGCGGCCCGAAGGCCGGCCTGCCCGCAGCACCCCCACTTCTCAAGGCCTCTGGTCCCGACCATCGAGTCAGCCGTCATGACAAACACACAGCATTTCCCAGGCACTTTCAGAGGGACGAGCTCAGACGCGGACCTTGGCTTGGACCTTGGGTCTGTTGTTTTTAACCCGTCCTTCGCTTTCACTCTTTCTATTTTCCTTTTCGTGTGCTACTTCCAACTTACTCTTTATCTTGATTAACGTATCATTTCATCTTCCACTTGCTTTTTTTTAGTGGAGCGTGTGTGTGGCTTAAAGTGTCAGCCCTGCGGGACGGGACCTCGAACCCGTCTCAAATGGGCGTCAGCAGACGTCTTCTGCAGAGGGCGAGAGAGGACATGTCCTTGGATCTGCAGGCCACGTGGTCTCCATTGACAGCGACCGGCTGCGGCAGTGGTGTGAATGCAGCCGTGGACAACACATACAGAAGGAGGGTGTCTGGCCCTCAGTACAACTTTATTGGCAAAAACAGTCGCAAGCAGATTTGACCTGTGGCTTGGATCCAGAGCTGACCCAGCACACAGACCCCGAGAAAAGAGCCAGCGGAGGGAACTGATCTCATCGGTCTTGCCCAGGGGGCACACTCCATGTCCCAGCCTCCAGAGGCCCATGGAACCTCTTTGCTCTCATCCGAGCCTCTCAGTAACCAGATTTTCTGGTCTTCAGGAAACTCCCAGGGCCCTGCTAGTCAGACTGTGGGCTGAACCTTTTCATCCTCGGCCCTCACCAACACGGACCTCACAGGCTCTCGTTTTCACCTCCCCCCAGCGCCGGACCATGGCTCTTACTCCTGGACAGAATGCCCCCGGGAGTATAAAAGGGCACAGCAACAAAAGTGTGTGTGTGGTGCCCCGAAGGGAGCCTCAAAGATCAGGCAAAGAAGGGGGGAAGCACGTTCCAGGTTGAGGAGGGGAACACTTCAGTAGGGGAGGAGAGAAGGGGTGGACTGGAGGGAAGGTGACAGAACCCTGAGCTCAGAGGCCAGGCAGGTGGGGAGGAGCTCCCAGGGCCGGCAGGGCAGCTGCTGGCATCGTGGGCTGTGTGTTTGTGTCCCCTCAAACTCAACCCCCAGGGTGATGGGGTCAGGAGGTGGGTCCTGTGAGGTGCAGAGGTCCTGAGGGGGGACCCTCACAATGGGTCAGTGCCCTGAGAAGGAGCGGCCCCAGAGAGCTTGCCTCCTCTCTGCTCTCACGTGAGGACACAGGTATAAGTCAGAGGTCAGGATGGGCTCCCCAGACCCCTCTGCTGGCACCTTGACCCTGGACTGTCAGCCTTCAAAACTGGGAGGAGAAACGTTTATGGTTTGAACCATCCAATCTGTGGTGTGTTGTGAGGACAGCCAGAGAGAAGGCAGCTGGGACATCATCTCAAAGAGAAAGAGTTTCTCGTACGACATTAAAAGAATCAAGTGCTCAGCCCAGTGGGCGAGGGAAGAGACAGGAGGACTGGGTTACGATTAGATTAGCCACAGGGACACCAGAAACAGATACATTGTGACTGACTGTAATTCAATTTTTTAAAATAAATAATTAAAATTTTAAAAAAGATTACGCTAGCCATAGGGCTGGGTAGTATCCAGGTTAGGCTTAAGATGAGGGTGTGGCTCATAATTAAGGTACCACTGGTTTGCTTACGATCTGAACCCACGATTCCAGAGGTACTTGTAACCCATTGTAACTCACCACTTCTCAGACACGTTATTTTTCACGTCACGCATCTACTTTTCACACGTTTATTTTTCACATCCCCACGTCCAGAAGGTGTCTTACAAAGGTTCCTGCGTGTCTTTGTTTAATCGGCAGTATCCTTACTTCATCGCGACAGCAGTGCAGTAAGTAATGGTGTATCTTCCGAAAAACAGCAGCATCTCACTTCTTCTAATATGGCAGACGTGTTCCAGACAACGGAAAATCAAATGGTTCACGTCAGTTCAGAGGACACGCGGCCATGGCGGTGTGTGTCGTTGGTAGCTCTGCGCCCAAATCTCGTGTCCCTTCTAGAGACTGCGAAGTACTTTCCTGAGAAAAGCTAGTCGGGTCCACATCCGTTCTGTGCCCCGGGGTCCCTGGAGGGGCCCCGGAGGGCAGGTCGAGCGCTGGGGCTGCTCGGAGGCGGCAGCAGCACACACGGAACGTGAAGAACGAAGGGCGCGCTGCCGCGCAGGAGCCGCGAGCTGCTCCTGAAAAGCCTGAGACAGAGCAGGGGCGCGGAAACGCGAGAGCGGGAGGTACGGCGTTTCGGTGAGGAATTCAGCAAGCGGGCAGGTTCACTAAGCAAAACAGCTACTTTTAAAACAACCCGTGGCTCATCACCAGCCCACTCCGCGACGCGAGCTCACTTAGGTCCCGGCCGTTGCTGCAGCCGGGCCACGCGAGCGCTGCGGGACAGACGGACGGGGCCCCGCGGGCGCGCCGGCCGCCCAGGCTGCGGGGGGGCTGGGGCGCCTCAAGGCGCCTGCGCGGAGAGCCTGCGCGCTGCGAGGGGCGCTCCTGCCCTCCTGCCCGGCGCCCCCGGCTCTGCACGTCATGACTCTGCCTCCCTGGTTCTGTGTTTTTCATTCGTTTCGGAGGAGGGACTGGGGATTGAAACCAGGCCGTCATGCGTGCTAAGCACGCGCTCCGCCACTGAGCTCTACCCTCCCCCGACCCTGGTTCTTCTTAGACTGTTTTCACGGTAGACATCTGTTGTATTCCCACACCCCTCATGGCTCCCTTGTGCCTCAAAACTGTTGTCCACAGTCGCTGCTTGACTCCTAAGGCCGGATTGGGTGCACAGAGTTGGCTCGTTCCCCATCCCTCTCCTGGTACCCTCTGCTGCCGCAAGCTCATTCCAGGCCACCCTTTGTGTCTCCTCTAAGGCTCCTGCCCGTCAAATTCCAGTCCTCCACGGAGGCTTCCCCAGCTGCTGTCAACAGGCCACACCTGAGCTCCTGTGACAGACACCTGGTGACACAGCTGTCCAGAGGGCTCCTTCTGCAGAGGTGACCAGGTGCTATGTGACCAAGACACTTCAGCCAAAGCTGCCTGGACTAGGATGGGCTTCTGACCTGGGCGGAACCGTCACGGGCAGGCCAGGGGCCGGAGGGTTCACCAGGTGCCAAAGCCCTGCTTAAAGAAGGATGGAGAGGACCAGGCAGAGCCATGAGAGCCCCACTGCTGGAAAACTGAACAGGAGGGCTGGGGAGGGGGGAGGGAGGGAGGGAGAGGGAACTTACAGGAGCAGGGCTGAAAACATCAGCAAGTCATCAGGTTTCAGCTACAGCAGAGCCTCAGTGGAGGAGCCAGACCGCCTGCTGCTGCCAGGACATGAGGTTGCCTCGTCACTAGAGCAGACCTGGGTCCAGCGCAGCTTCCCAAGTCCAGTTTCTGTGCTGCTCGGTCTCGCTCCATTTCTGTTTCCCTAAGAAGCCTGTGGGCAGAGTCTCCTGGGCTCCTGTGAAGTCGGAACGACTGTCTGAGGTTCCTGTGTCCCACGTGTACCCATACGGTCCTCCAGAGAATCCGAATAAGTGTTAACCCCATAAAACAAAAGAACCGTGCGCACAGTGGCCTTCACCAGTCCCTGCCCCCAAACATCTGCAGCCTTTCTAGCCTGAACCACGCGATTTGGCACTCACTACAGGATGCCTCGCCAAAGCAAGAGCACTAATTTTGCGTGGGCTTTAATTTCACTTCCCAGCACATCACACACTTCCTCGGGGCAGGGCTCAGGGCTCCTGTTTCTTCTTTATCTCTCACACCCCGTATAACCTTGAATACGTCTTTTAACCTCTCCAAGCACCGGTACTCTTGTTTTCAAAACTGGAGTAATAATAGTACCTACTTTAAAGGGTAGTTTTGAAGAATAAATGAGAACATGTCTGCAAAGTGCTTGGCATAGTGCCTGGCACATGACGAGTGCTCATCAAGCACTGATGGACGTCGTGATGGCAGTGCTGGTGGTGGTGGTGGTGGTGATGGCGGTGGTGATGGTGGTGATGGTGGAGGTGACGGTGGTGGTGGTAGTGATGGTGGTGGTGGTAATGGTGGCAGTGGTGGTGATGGTAGTGGACTGTATACATCATAGAGTTCTGAACACAGTAGATAACTTAGAAGTATTTGCCGCTATGTGGCTCACCTGGCAAACCACACGCTCACAGGCTATACAGCAGAGTAAGGGATAGAGATGAGCAGAAAGGAAAACCAGCACCTGTGGAGCACCTGCTCCGACCCCAAGCCCTTGCGGGTCTATCTCATCTATACCTCACAGCAGCTCATTGGCAGAAATCCTAATTTAAATTAAATGACCTACCTAATTTTATGAAGCTAAATAACGACACTGCTTGGGTTCCAACAGCCACACCCTTTCCTCTACACCCGGCAGCCCCACAAACAACCCCTCAAGACTGATGGGCAGAGGGAGGGGATGGCCAGCAACATTCCTCCAGAGCAGGAATGGGTTCAAAACACAAACTCTGTGTTTCTCAAAAAACACCATCCTTACGCACACTAACTGCACCGTTCGCACCCTAATTTCCCCCGTCAATCTCCACTTTTCATCAACTCCTGATCAAGGTTTGCGTCAGTATCAGGAGAAATAAAGTTGAATGACTCCATTTCAACACTGACCTAAAAGAAGGAGCAGGAAGCGATGCCACTGCTGAGGGTGGCAAGATGCCGTAGTCAGACTCCTTTCAGAAACAGCCTCTGACCTCGGCATTCTCTCCTTCACAACCAGTCCTGCCGGGTCTGCTCTGCAGGGTCTGTCTCGCTGGGCTCTGTGCCTTGCTCTGGTGCAGGGACTCTGGAAGCTGCTTGAGGGCGGAGGGGGTGACAACACTGCTTCATGTCCACAAGTGCCCGGAACTTAACCTCCACTCACTCACTCAAAGATCTCACTGGTCCTCCGATGTGCCTCGCTTTATGAGGTTAGGGAAGGAGACCCGGGCAGTGGTCCCCGGGGGTGACGGTGCTTCAGCCCAGCACTGGGCCAGCGGACCCCCGGCTCCGGGCGGCACCATCACCCCCGCCCAGCCCCGGCCCCTCACCAGCGGCGCTGGTTCCAAAGGCTTTGTGGTCCGGCTGCCCGGATTCCTGTGTTGCCTCAAGCTGGGGGACTCCCCGACACTTACTTAGCGTCTCTGAGCCTGCTCCTCAGCCAGATGAGGCGAGTGCCAGAGGAGAACACAAACAAGTCCTGGAGCCTCAGCCCCGCGCGACCACACCTCCCGCGGCAGGGACGGTCACTGTCATCAGTCACCCACTGCGTTTACCCTTTGGGACTGTGCTCGCCACCTTCCTTCCTCTGATTCTCAGTGCCGACCCTTGACTAAAAGCTAGACGGCAGCGAGACCACCGGAGGGACGCCGCGGAGCTGTGTGGGAGCCGGCAGGCGCTGGGCAGGAGACAATCAGACGTGCGCTGCTAGAGCTGATACCGCAGCTCAGGGGCTAATGCAGTTTTGGGCTCCGTTCCCAGCAGCGAACAGAGGTGAGAGTCCCGCTCTAACAGCCTTTCTCGAACCCCACCTGGAAAACTACATTAAATTCCGGGCACTTCAATACCATAAAGAGGTAGAAAAGCTGAAGGGAGTTCAAAGCAGAGCAATAAAAATGATGGGGAGGTAGGGAGAATTGATTTACTGGGAAAGATTAAAATAACGAACTACGTACAGCGCGTCTGGGTGGTGACTGGCGAGGAGCACGGGGGAACATAGCAGCCTATAAATAATGGGGCCGGTAAACAGCCGCGGGGAGCGTTCTTGAGCTGGTACCAGGAGGCACAGCCGGGAAGGAGGGCGAGACAGAGGAAAGGACAGTTTATGAAGAACCTATGGAAAGCTGTGTGGGCTTTTATTCAAAGACAGGGCGAGACAGGCAGAGAAATTAAAGATGCCAAGCAGTGACGTTCCAATCCAGCAGGACGGAATCCTACTTCCCAAAACCCTATTGTTTTCTGGTCCCCATCTGCGGGTCTCCTACTCCAACTGCTACGGCCCTTGGTGGTCAGCACCCCTCCCCCCACTGCCACCACTGCCAGGCAGCAAGCTCGGCAGAGAAATGCACCAGGTTCACTCACCGGAGACTCCCCAGCACCTGACGCAGGGCTCACCTCCTAGTCATCATCCTATAAATACCGGCTGAATGAAGGGCGCGGTGAATGGCCAGTTTGCAAAGAATTAAATGAAATAAAGCATTAATTACCAAAAATGATACATAGTAAGGGTCATGTCAAAGCAGCAAAGATCTAGCAGGATCACAGCCATGGATCGTGACATGTAGAATTTTAAGGTTAGAAAGGCCGTTAAAAATCTTATATTTCAATGATTCTCAATTTTTTTCCCCAAACCAGTTCACCTATGCACCTACATTTACACACAATTTCCAGCACACTCACGGATTCCCAGACCCTTCTCTCCACCATAAATACTGCCTATCAGAGCCAACTACATGAGAGGGACATTCTCCCGTGGAAAACCTTGTCACCACTCTAACTGAGTAAAAGGAAAAAGTGAATACTCTGCGGCCTGTTGTGAGCGGCCCTCCCTGAGACCCTCGTGTGCCACTTATGCCTCCGGGGGGACCTTGGCCTCCAGGTGGGCGGCACGGCAGCACTTCCCCACATGCACACACTTTCAGTTTTTTAATTTTGAGTAGGAAAGTACTTGCTCCTCTCCTCACGCCTCACTGTGACCTGTGTGTCACCCAGCGCCCCCGCTGCTGAGCAGGTAGAGTGACTGTCCCAGGAAAGCCCGTTCATGGTGCGGCCAAAACTACAGGACAGGGTTTCTACAGGTTTCCCGAGGCCCCAGGCGCCATTCTGTGATTTCCAAACGCAGAAACTGAGGCTTTGTGTTAAAAGTCACTGGAGCAAGTGACATCCTGGTGACACAGGAACCACCAGCCACCTGCTGAGCGCCCCCCTCACTCCTCTCGGCTGCCTCGAGGGTCCCCACCGACACCCCAGACTTCTCTGCACAGTTCATCCCGCAAAGCCACTCGCACCACTTTGTCAAGCTCTGTGGTGAACAGAAAGGATTTTCTCCGTCCATTTAGCCAATGCTTAGGAGCTGTAGTTATGCAGTTCAGAGGCAAAGTCCAGACAGCCCTTGATGCATACATTTGTTTTTGGAAAAGTCAACTTCAAAGCCTGAAGTCCATCTCCGGAATCCCAGTTCCCCCATTAACACCCACAATAAAACAGTAAATACATTCCAGGGAGAAAGCAAGCAGAGGGGGAGCCATTTTTCAATTTACTCAGTGAAGCGGCCGCTGCCCCCAGGCCCCCGGCGCGTGCTGGGCCCACCTC